GCTCAATGGATAGAGCACTAGCCCATGGACTGAAAGGTCCTGGGTTCAATTCTGGTCAAGGGCATGTACCTCGGATGATTTCCAATCAATGTATCACTCTCACATCAATGTTTCTCTCTGTCTCTCCCCACCACCACGGCCCCTCCTCCCCCCCCCCCCCCCCCGCCCCTTCCACTCTCTCTAAAAATCAATGGAAAAAATATCCTCGGGTGAAAATGAACAACAACAAAAAAGTAAACAACCAAACAGAAAAGATGCTGGTGGATATACTCACACCTAGTGTGCACTGGGGCCAACTCAGGTGTGCCCAGGTGAGCGGAGAGGCCCCAAGACGCCATGGCTCCAGCTTCCCTTGCTCCCTTCCCATCTTCGATCTGGGGAGTGAGCGTGGGAACACGGAGGTGGGTGGTGTGGAGGAACCTGGTGGACAGGGAGGGAAAACTCCAGCCTCAGACACCTACTGTGTCCTAGAAATTGTGCAGATGTTTCGAAAGATTGGATGGGATCCTGACCCCCAAGCAAATGCCCTGGGGTGTTAGAGCTGTTTATACCAATTCCAAATGTATGTATTCCTTCTGCTCTCGGCACTTGGCATCAAAGCAGTTTAGAAAGTTTTGTTTTTAGTTGTTGTTGTTTTTTTTTTTTTTTTTTTTTTTTTTAATGAATACAAGTACTCTCCAGCTTCACATGCTGTTTTTTTTTTTTTTTTTTTCTTTCCCTTTGCGGGGGGTGGGGCATATAATGATCTCTTCTCTTTCCTTGGTGTCCTTGCTCAGGAGAGTATGGGCTCTTGGCCAAGATGAAGGCGATGAAGGTCACCCTCTGCACTGCAGTTTGGTCTCTAGCATCAAGCACTGAGGAGTTTCTCGACGATCCCCAACCATGGACGCACCTTACCCAGCAGAGTTGTCCCAGTGTTATTCCGCTCACCTGTGAATGGCTCAGGCCCAGTGGTAGCAAGGCCAGCTTATGATTCAGAACATCAAAGCAAGTTATTGTTCTTGTATATAATTGTCCCCTTTGCCCTGATTGCTTTATCTGAAATGGACTTGTAGATTCAGTTGTGAGCAGCTGGTCTCCGCCAGACCCAGCAGCTGGGCATTGGGTGGTAAACTGAGGGAGGGCTGGGGCCAGGGACGCCTGCCTGTCTTTCCATCCCTGGGGCCGGAACAGGTGAACCTGCCTATAACCATATCCATCATCCTGTTCGTAGCCATAATATTTCAGCACCAGCAACTCCCACTACAGTCATGACGGGGCCAGTCAGCTCATGGGGTGCTTTTTTATGGGTTCTCATTTGAGTTATACAACAGCCCCTGAGGCAGCCAGGCCAGGGTTTGTTTTTTTTTTAATTCCTATTTTACACGGAAAGAAGCCAAATGTTCATTGCAGCACTATTCAAAATAGTCAAAAGATGGAAACAACCCAAATATCTATCAACTTTTGAAGGAATAAAAAGAAAAGTGCTATATCTGTACAGTGGAATGTTATTAAGCCTTCAAAAGGAATAAAATACTGATACATGCTCCAACATGGAGGAACCTCCAAAATCATGCTAAGTAAAAAGAAAGCAGACATCTGCTGTGTGATTCCATTTATATGAAATATTGGGAATAGGCCTGTCCGTGGAGGCAGAGAGCAGATTACTGGAGACTGGGGCTGGAGTTGGGATGGGGGTCAGAAGGGAATGGGGGTAGTGCTAATGGTATAGAGCTCCATTTTGGGTGATAGAAGTGTTTTGGTAGAGGTGATGGTTGCACATTGGGAGTGTACAAAATGCCATTGAGTTGTACATTTCAAAATGATTGTAAACAAAAAGAAGCTCATAGATCCCTCACTGGTGTGGCTCAGTAAATAGAGCATCGGCCTGTGGACCAAAGGATCCCAGGTTCGATTCTGGTCAAAGGCATGTATCTTGGTTGCGGGCATATCCCCAGTAGGGAGTGTGCAGGAGGCAGCTGATTGATATTTCTCTCTCATTGATGTTTCTAACTCTCCCTCTCCATTCCTCTCTGTAAAAAAAAAAAAATCAATAAAACACTTTTTTTTTTTTTTAAATAAGCTCATAGTCTTTGATTCTTCTCTATGTACCTTTCATTTCTTTTGTTTTGCCTTGCAACACTGGTAGGACCTCTGATGCAATGTCAAATATAAGTGATGAGAATGGGTATCTTTGCCTTGTTTCCATACGTAGAGTTAGGAAACATACATCTTTCATGAGGTGTAAAATAGTACAGCCACTGAGAAGTTGATTTACATTTTTTTGCAAATGGGATACTTGCATATCTTATGACCCAACAAGTGCCTTCCTAGGTATATAAGCTATAGAAAATTTTCTCCATATGGGTCAAAGAATTAAAAATAGCAGATTAATTGTTGCACACTGTACACACCATTCTTGTTGTTTTCCATGTACAATGCTCTGGAGATTTTTTCTTATCAATACAAGTAAATCTGTCTCATTCTTTCTAATGGCTACATAGCATTTAAATGTCTGAATACACCATTCCCTAATGAGGAATATTTGGGTTGCTTCTAGTCTATAAACAAGATTGCCATTAATGTTATGTATACACCTTTATATAGTGTATCTTTTAAAATATACATATGTATTCCTTATTGATTTTGAAGTGAAAGGGAGATGAAGAGCAAGAGAGAGAGAGAGAGAGAGAGAGAGAGAGAGAGAGAGAGAGAGAGAGAAAGTGATGCCGAAACCGGTTTGGCTCAGTGGTAGAGCGTCGGTCTGTGGACTGAAAGGTCCCGGGTTCGATTCCTGTCAAGGGCATGTCCATTGGTTGTGGGCACATCCCTGGTAGGGGGTGTGCAAGAGGCAGCTGGTCGATGTTTCTCTCTCATCGACGTTTCTAGCTCTCTATCTCTCTCCCTTCCTCCTCTCTGTATAATATCAATAAAATATATTATATATATAAAAAAAGAAATACCAGTGATGAGAGAGATCCATCAACCAGGGATTAAGCCCACAATCCGGGCATGTGCCCTGACTGGGAATTGAACTGTAACCTCCTGGTTTATAGATTGACGCTCAACCACAGAGCCACGCAAGCGGGCTATACTGTATCTTTAATACCAAATATGAAGCGACCTGTGGCGAGAAAGTATTATCATCCTGAGTCAATAGCTTACGTTGCTTGCCTGACTTGAGAGAAGGAGAGTTTAAGGCAATGGTGAGAAATCCACATGGGGGTTTCCCACCGACACTGTCAGCAGGAAGAACCCACAGGTGTGTGTGTTTGGCTGCTTTTGCACGTGCCAGGTATTTGGAACTGAGTAGGTGTGAACTGGTGTAAGGGTGACGACGTATTTGCCATTTGACCTATGGCTCCAGGCCTGTTGGGAAGCAGTTCCACGGCAGATGCTTCGACAGCCCAACTCTTGCCTATTCCCCGAGGGTGAGCCAGGAGCGGTCTGGAAGGGGGAGAGAAAGAAGAGGCAACTCTCCCGACTCTGGGCATGGTTGATGTCCTCCACAGCACTGGTGGCCCCGAAAATACCTTTTCCTGGCAGACCAACGCCCGCTGGATGGGGCAGCCTCAGTACCAGGGTCCTTTGATTACAAATCATGAGGTCAAAGGAGAACTCCAATTGCTGGGCAAGTAATGATGCGAGCACCTCTTCCCTCTTATAAACACAACTGGAGAGCACCCGTGTTCCCTTCCATCTGGCATAAGCAGCGGGCTTTTCTCCCTTTGGTCCCTCGTTTGCCCTGTGTGATGGAGACAGAATCCTCCGTCCTCTCCTGAAGGGTGAGGCCAGAGTGAGAGGCAAGTGAGGCAGTATTCTGGGTACAAAACCCAAGGGCATGCCAAATGCGTGCCACCCACCCCTCCCGCCCCCAACACACACACCCTGCAATCAAGATGAAGAATATTTTAATGCAGGATTTAAAAAATTCAACATTCGTGCAAAACATTCCTAATGAACAAAATCCCAACACTTGATATATTAAAGACAAGATCTCACCCTTCACTTTCAACCATCCTGCCTCACTCACCTCCCTAGTCCCAAATCCAGTAAAAGTTTATTTGCAGAAAACAGGTAACTAGCCTGCAGGCTGTGGTTTGCCAATATGATTTTTTTTTTCTAAAAAGAAATTATAACATATCTTTTGATTGTGGCAAAATATACATATTGTAAAATTTACCATTTTAAGTGTCATGAAGGACATTCCTATTCGTGTGCAACAATGATTTTTTTTTTTAATATTACGTTACAATGTTATCTATCGCCCTGGCTGGTGTGGCTCCGTTGGTTGGTGTGGCTCCTGTGCACTGACGAGTTGCCTTAGAGTCTCCATCAGCGTCGGCGCACACGGCGAGGATGCAGGCTGGACTGCATGCAGAAGGCAACCAACCCATGTGCCTCTCTGCGTGTGTCTGTCTCTCTCTTTCCGTTCCCCTCTCTCTAAAATCAGTGAAAATCATATCCTCAGGTGAGGACTTTTAAACTGTGATTAATGAGCGTGGAGGCGTCCTCATGCATGTTGCGCCGCATGCCAGTGCTTCACTCGCCTCCGTCCTGCCCGCCCTATCCCGGAGCCTGAGGATGGAAAAACTGCAATTTCCTCCCAGAAAAGCAACAGCAGAAGGAGCTGATCCAGCGGCGACCCGGCCGCCGGGAAGGTCCGAGCAGCCGCGGAGACAGGAAGCCTGGCTCCGCCTGCAGAGGGCCGCCCTCTCCGCTCTCCTCGGCGGCGGCGGCGCGACACACCTGGCGGGCGGGCGCGCCCTCTACCTGCGCGGGGGCCACGGGGCTGGCGGCCCGCAGCGCCGGGCCCGCCCCCAGGCCTCCCGCGCGGGCCAATGAGGACAGGGGCCCCCTCCGGCTTCGCCAATGGGAGCGCGGTATGCAAATGAGCAGGTGCGGTGGCGGCCGGCCCGCCAGGGCGTCCGCGGCTCCGGGGATGTTAGAGGCGCGCTGGGCGGCCGCGGAGCAGACGCCCGGATTCCGAGCTGCCGCCGCGAGCGCCCCGCTCTCCCGCCATGGCCCCCGCTCCGCCCCCCGCCGCCTCCTTCTCGCCCGCCGAGGTCCAGCAGCGCCTGGCGGCCGGCGCCTGCTGGGTCCGCTGCGGGGCTCGCCTCTACGACCTCACTGGCTTCCTGCGGCAGCACCCGGGGGGCGAGCAGCTGCTGCGGGCGCGGGCCGGCCAGGACGTGCGCGGCGACCTGGACGGGCCCCCGCACCGGCACTCGGCCAACGCGCGCCGCTGGCTGGAGCAGTACTACGTGGGCGAGCTGCAAGGAGACCCTCAGGTACGGCGGGACAGGGGGCGCCCGGGGTCCCAGGTCCCTCCCCCTCGGCCAGTCCGTCCTCCCCCAGCTCTCCAAGCCCCGTGCACCTGCCCTCTAGGAAGGAGGACTCAAGGTGACCACCTCCGCCCGCCCTCCCCGCTGCGTCTCCTCTTTCCTCTCTCCAGCAAGCAAGTCAATGCCCCTGACCTCCTCCTCGCCAGGAGTTTGCCCTTCCTCTCCCTCCCAGCCTTAACCCTGGCCCTCTTCTAGCTGCTACTTCCCCGCGCCCCTCAATGACCCCCGCCTTCCTATCTGTTCTCCCTGCAGCTTCTGCCCTCTGACCATGTGGACCACCTTTTCTCAGCCCCTCCTCTGCCCAGGCTTTCCTTCCTGGTCCCCTCTATGGGCCTCTCCCTTTTGGCAGCTGCTCTTTACTTCAGTCTGAAGAATAGCTTCCAAGTTTACCTGTTTGTTCTCCCTTCCCCGTCTCACCCTATTCCTGCCCCTTAAAAGGCACGGGTTATCCGCCCTTCTCAGCTAGTCGGGATCCCCCGGTGCTGCCCCAGCCTTGCTCAAGGCCTCTTGTGGGTGGATGGAAAGGTCAGGGTGGGCAGAAATGGAGGACTCTGTCCTCCCACCCCTCAAACTTCCCTTCATTCCTTGTCTTGCCTACGGGGTTGGGTGTCCAAAAGGGTGAGAGGAAAGGGCTGAGCCAGTTTGCCGGGGAGAAGGGATTCGCTCTCTGCAGCTGCACGCTGCTGGGCGGTACAGGTTCCTGGTGGTAATTAAACGTCTAAGTGAGCCCCGCGAAGGTTCTGTTATTCCCATTTTAGGATGTGGAAACTGAGGCTTCGGGTGGCCCTGTAATTTATCCAAGGCCAAACAGCTAGGTATCTGATTCCAAAAAGTGTATCTGATTCCAAAACTGATACTACCTCCCATTCCAGGGCTCCAGGCAGGCTCAGGCCAGAGGTCAAGCTGACTCCCTGGGCCTTCTCCAGGCCTGGCGGTAGGACTGGTGATATCGTGCTCAGGCCTCCGTGCTTGGACGGAAAGCAATAGTTGCTCCCTCCTTCTAGCTCTTGCTTCCAAGATGGCCCTAGCACGTGCTTGTGGATCTTTGGGTGAAAGGACTTGCCTCTCACAGTTCCAGGTGGCTCCTCACAGAGCGATGTTGCCTAATTCTTCAATCCTCTATTCACTCACTCACTCCCTTGACCCCCTAATAGTTGGCAGCCCTGAGGGAGGCGCTGGGGAGGCACCAGTGGGTAAAACCAATGCCAGTCTTCGTGGCGCTAACAGGCTAATGAGGAGCGGGGAGGGATGTACTAATTGCACGGTGATTACTTAATTATCCGATGTGAGCAGATAATGGATCTGGAGGGGGAGGGGTTCCAGGAGAGCTGTCTTGAGAAAGTGACACTTACACGGAGAGGTGACGTGTGATGGGGGAGGGAACAGAACCTGTGAAGGCTCTGAAGAGTAAGGCCTTGGCATCCATCGTCAAGGGACAGAAATAAAAGGAATCTGCCCAAAGCCGACGAGCAAGGAGATGGATGTGGGAGGAGGCCCGAGAGCCACTGGGGCCACATTCCCCTCTGGGCTGTGGTCGGGATCCGGAACTTGATTCTGAGAACAATGAGAAGCGGGGAGGGGAGGGGGGAGGGATTTAAGCGCGGGTGTGGCATGGTCAGATTTGCATCTTCGGACGAGCACCCTGGCTGCAGAGCCAGAAGAAACGGAGGGAGCCTGAGCAGGGGGCTGCTGCGTAGCCCGAAGTGAGAGGTTAATGGCAGCTGCCCCTGTGGAGGCTGTGGCTGAGGGGCGAGGGGGTTTGAATCTGGGAGGTTTCATAGGGATGGTGCCAGGAGCTGGCATTCTGCAGCGGGAGCCCGATTTGATCTCGGAAGTGGATGTGTAGTGCCAGGTCGTGCTGAAGGGGCAGAAGGTGTAGCCACTGATGTCACTAAACCTGAGGGCAGGAAGTGAGAGGTTGGAACCAGGAGACTAGAGGCTTCTAAGGCTCGTGATGGCACACGGGAGCCACCCTCCGTTGACGCCGTTTCTACAAACAGGCGCCTCGGGGTGTGGCTTCTCCTCCCTGTACCATCGGGAGCATCGCTCCTGGCCAGCTGCCCGAGACGGCTCAGCCTCCCAGCTCTGCGGATGTGATTCCGCTTTGCTTTGCAACCCTCAGGGGCTGCACTCGGAGAATGCCAAGACCAAGTTTGGTTCCTACCCCTGCCCTTGCCTCAGGAGCCCCGCTGTGACCCTGTTGCAGGCACCCGTACATCCGCCCCAACCTAGGAACCACACACAAACCTGTGGCCAGTGCACCCAGTCCTCCAGTTGCTGTCAGTTTCTGGTACAGATGTCTGTTCTAGAAACTACTATAAAGTTGTCTTTAAGCTGAGGGAGAGAGGTAATTCGAGGAGAAATCTTCCCGGGAGAAGCCCTCTTCTCAAGGCTTGAGTGGAGACAAGACATGTCTGTTCTTCTGTCTCGCTAGCAACCTTCTAGCAACCTCCTTGCCTTCTCCACCTCCCTTCTCTCCTTCTGTTGGACCCGGAGGTGAGAGCCCAGCTCCTGTCACGTGAGGACCAAGAGGGGTGATGATGGGGAAGGGGAGTATCAGGCTCCCACCCTGTTGTTTGGGGCTCATTTCTGGTTGCTGCCCCTCTCGGGGTCTTTGGTGGGAAGCCTCCTGGAGCCCTAGGAAATCTCCAGGGAGAAGGCCTGGCCCCATCGATTTCCCCTGTTCCCTACTTTGCCACACCCCTTTGTGTACACACTTACACACACATTCACACTCACACGAAGGCACACACACACACACACACACACACAAAACAAGTCAAACTCGTTTGAGCCAGCATACTGTGGGGATGAGACAAGGTCTGCTGTTGCCTTGACCTTGGGCTTGAGAGAGCGAAGCTGCCCACCTTGAGCCAGTGAGAGAGCGACGACTGTGCAGGAAGCCAGGCCCTCTTCTCACCGTGGCTTCCGAGGGCCGGTAGGGTGTTTTCCCAGCTGGAGCTCACATTGTTAGTGGGTCACGAAGATCATTTATTGAGCTGAAACGGGCATTTAAAAAAAAAAAAGAAAAAGAAAGAAAGAAAGAAAGAAAGAAAGAAAGAAAGAAAGAAAGAAAGAAAGAAAGAAAAAGAAAGAGGAAAGGAAAAAAACTTTAGGTTCAATCCTCCCAAGACCATATGCACTGTTTCCCAGGTTTGAGTCATCCATGAATCACTGTTCCCCTTTTTTTTCTGAATTGGCATACCACTTGGACTATTCTGTTTAACATTTATCAGAAACTAGACTCACCTTTTAGCTTACCATTTAGCCATTGTAGGCAATACCACCAATGAAATCACAGTTTTTACAAGCACTTTAAAATAAATATTGACCTATTAAAGTGAAAATTCTTGTCCTCATACCCCTCTAAAATCATCTTGGGCACCATCAGTGGAGTATATATCATACTTTGAAAAATATGGAGCGGAGCTTCTTTTTTTTTTAAAATATATTTTTGATGATTTCAAAGAGGAAAGGAGAGGGAAAAATAGAAACATCAATGATGAGAGTATCATTGATTGGTTGCCTCCTTCACGCCCCTCTGGGGATCAAGCCCGCAACCTGGGCATGTGCCCTTGACCAGAATCAAACCGGGGACCCTTTAGTCCACAGGCTAACGCTCTATCCACTGAGCCAAACCGGCTAGGGCTGGAGCAGAGCTTCTTAACCCTGATGTTTGCGGATCATTTCCTGGAATTGATGAAAGAGATGACGATGTGTTTAAGAAGGCACAGCTTGTGCATTTTTCTGGTGAGAGAGCTACAGCTTCCATCACAGTCCATCCGGAATCCTTCCCTCCCCAGAAGCTGGCCACCAGGAGGACGGTGCCTGGGAACGGGCATCTCCTTCTTCCCCGTCTCACACACACCTTGAGCGGTCTCCCCAGGGGCAAACATCTGACCACCGCGCTCAAGCCCTCTGTTTGAGAAGCCCCTGGAGGGGGGCCAGCCCCAGCTCCCCGCTGCTGTTGGCTTCACCGTGATGTCTCTGCGTGCATGTCCTCTGACCGTCCGCAGCTCGGGGCTTGAGCGACTACGTGAGAATGGATGAAAGGGAGGGAAAATCTAAGTGCAGGAAGACTCGGGGTTCCCACCCCACCCCAGGCTCCAGAACATCTTGAGCACAGCCCCACTTGGAAAGCTTGTCTGAGCTGAGAAATCCGTTTTTAAAAAATGATGTTTGGGGAACTAGCCAAACTGGCCCCACCTGTAGAGCACTGAGGCCATGAGAAGCCTGCCAGTGGAAGGGGGTTGAGATTTGCCTCACCTATAAGAGGGCTTCTCAATGAGGCTGCCTGGCCCATCAGTAGCCACCACCCTTGGTATCTGCCCGGGACTTCCAAGCTCTGGCCTGCTGTGGCGCCAGGCGAGTCTTGTCTGGAGGATGAGCCTCGGGCCAACGGGTAGAGCATCCAGGGATCCCCGGTATCTCAGGAAACTCAGGCTTCCGGAGTGCTGCTCAGAATCCCGTGGAAAGGGGGCTTCGAGACCCAATTTGGGAGGGAAGATCAGAAATTAGGATTCTCTGAGGGAAATAAAAAGAAACAAACAGGAACCCCAGAAATACCCAACAGTCGTTATCTTTGCGAACATTCCAAGGAAAAAACCGCAAACTGATACCCGAGCAGCATTCATCACCTTCCCTTTCTGTACTTACTTTCCTTAAGGCACACACTCCTCGTTGGTCCACATGCTGTCTTCATTCATTTAGACACACAGGTAATAAGCACCCTGTTCCTCTGAAAGCTACTCTACTACCCTGTTTCCCCGAAAATAAGACAGTGTCTTATATTAATTTTTGCTCCCAAAGATGCGTTAGGTCTTATTTTCAGGGGATGTCTTATTTTTCCATGAAGAAGAATACGGTACACATTTATTGTTAAATGAAAATAAAGGAAGTTTATTACCTGTTTACCGTACAGTAGTACGGTAGTTGTCAACACAAAC